TTCATATTTTTCCAAGTTTACTTCGAGATTTGCGTCAAATATTTTCACTAGTAATTTTTCTAGAATTTCTAAACGTTTCTCAAAGGTGATCCAAATAAGGAAAAACATAAAGTTATAAATCTGCAGTAATTAGGGTACCCATGAGACATTGGAAAGTAGCTGACGGGTTAAGAAGACCGTACGCCATAACCACATAATAGTCTAATCTAGGTCAGGTACAGTAGAAACTGTCATTTCCTGACTTTCTTTGGCGAGAGGCACCTGGTAGTACGCATTACGCAAGTCGATATTGCTTATGTATCGAGCTAACTGAAGTTTACGAAGGATGCTTGCCGTGAAGGGAAGAGAGTAGGCATCTTTCTTCGTGATTACGTTGATTTTCCGAAAATTAATATAGAAACGAAAGATTTCATTTATTATTAGGTTTCCGCGTCATTACTACGGGGCTGGACTACGGACTGGATAATTCTACTACGTAACCTTATGCTATTAATTCTTCAAGCTGCTCATTCATGTAATTTGCTACCAGCTTAGAAACTAAGTGATTACATTGATTGATGTTTACAATTCCCTGGAAGTCTATCACATATTCCTCCAAATTGGTTACAGCTGGGTAGCGTCTTGAAGGCTTAACATATTTTTTGACCATAGTTTTATTTATTCCTGTTGAATTGGGGAGGTTTTAGTTAGACAGAGAGGTAAGTGGTTTACCCAAGAGTTTTTTCTACGTCGTTGAACAGCAGAACTCACCAGTAGTGCTTCATGGTAATAACCAGGTTGTGACAGTCAAGTCGATTCTAATCTCACAGTTCCGTAGAAGATCGATTATAAAAATACAGTCGTATATGAGACAAGGTAAGATATTGACCACGACTGTATTTGAATTATCAGCAACCGCAATATCCAAGACTATTTTAGCTTTCGTAACAGCTTATCTTCCGTCTGCCATCCGAACCGTCGTACAGTGGGAATTTTCAGCCGTTTTTGTGTCAATATTCCTTCCACAGGCCAATTGGGTAATTTTTTTAAATACTCATTATCCTTTGTACTTGGAGAAAATGGTGCTAGAAATCCGAAATATTTCACTTTCCAAAAACAGCCGCTAATAATAGCGCTATTATGAGAAAATCATTTTTCAAAATCGAGTAACCAACTAAAATCAACTTAAATCAATTAAAATCTATCCTCAAATATAGTTTAGAGTTTTTTAATTGAATAAAGCTCTATATTTTTTCTTAAAAATCAATATATAACCTAAAATTGGATTATAAATGTCTTCTCTACTGCAAAAATAATGTAATTTGATCTGAAAATTTTTATTAATAGGAAGTAAACTGGTAGTTGAAGCTAACTCTGAGATATATACATACAATAACATAATCAAAGTATCCAGTCGATTGGTTATCGGTTACCAGGTAATTTAGTTATATTTCAGTTGGTTACTTGATTTTCAAAATGATTTTCCCAAAACAGCATGCTATCATTAGCGGCTATCTTTGGGAGGGGAAATATTTTGAATTTGTAGCACCATTCTCTCATAGTACAAAGTATAATAAGTATTTAAAAAAATAATTACTCAGTTCAAGTGAAAATTGGCCTGCGGATGGAATTTTGATACAAAAACGGCTAAAAATTTCGACTGTGCGTCAATGATAGGTTATCATGCTGACACATAGGTAAAACTGAAAACGTCTTCTGACCTAAGTATATGTGCATATACCCGCTATCTATTAAGACTGCGTATATATTACAATAGGAAGGTAAAAACGATTATCCTTAGGTCGGACAAAAAGAAAGGCACACAAACACACTGTATCAGACAAAACTATTAGGTCTTGACCCAGAGGGAAGTTTTTCGTTTTGTATTTTAAGACGTTCGATGCAAAGTTGATTCTTGCAAGTGCGTACTGTAACCTCAGGTACCCTGCTCTAGTAATAGTATTTAGAGTTGGATTTAGGGGAGGTACGGCTCCATTTGAAACAGTGGCGGGAGTCGCGGCAGAGTTAATAAACGGGACTGCAGCTGTGTCTTGCGACATGGTTGTAGGTAGAAAAGGCTACATTGAAGCTATCTCCTCAATTTGCTTGGATTTATTATTATTATTTTTTTTATTTCGCTCTCGTTTTCCAGAAGCTTCCACCGAGGCTATAACCAAAGTTGTTTCCTGAAACTCAGCCAATGCTGATTTTTCCGGACTTGAGCGGGAGCGGTTAGGAAATTTATCGATTAATACAAAAATAAGAAATTAAAAATACTGCCCATCATCACAAATGCAAGTAGATTTGATCACTGTAATATTAGTTGTAAAACTATTTCTCAATTCGCAATCCTATCCATATGGAAATCTTCATTTATATATTAAAAAAAATCAGTATGCAGTACTTTACAAAATGAACTCTAATTTTCAAAGCTTATATTACCGAAAAGAAAATGAACCGTTGCTTAATAAAAAAGATTATATCAAGAAATTATTGTGAATCGTGATAAATTGTTCGAAATAAAACGAATCTATTATAAGTGCGCTTGTCGATGTACGCCTCAAGTTCGAGAGAAGATTTTCTGACAACACTGCCGCTTATTGTTTAATTCGACGTGATCTAATTATACAATATAATCCAATCACTCATGACGTCAATAAATTAGTTTAAGATTCTACTATTATAAATTTATATATAAGTGTGAAAAAGAAAATAATAATTATTAATGATATTCTAAAAAAATTCTTTTATTTAATCAAATTATTTCTGAATAATCGTTGTTGAAAATTGAAATATATAATTTTTTTTACTGCGATTTAAGACCACAAAAATTTTGTCCAAAGATTTTTTTTATCACATTTTTTATTGTATTTTTATTACATTTTATTTAAATTTTGATATTACATTTTTTTATTAAAGACTGAGCAGTTTCCAGTCCTTAGCTAGGTCACCAGTAGCGTCTTAAAAGCATTAACAGCCGCCCAAGAAACAGTATTCCCCCTGCTAGAGAGAGAGGGAGAGAGAGAGAGAGAGTTCCACTTTTATCTTTAAATTAACCTGTCTATAATTTATAATTCTATATATTCTACTGATAAAAAAATTAGGGTTTTTAATCCTTATGGAATAATATGTCTGGAAACGTACATATATGCTTAAGCATAAGGCTTAATTCCTAAGGATAAATCTGCCCTGAAACATACATTACTTATTTACTGGCGATAGAGATAGAGGGAGAGAGAGTATTATAACGAGTGAAATTGCAAACTCGTTATATATCTCTCTCCCTAGTAACGATATGTAAATATGACACATTCTTCCGAACTTATCTTACATATTTATGAATTTATTATGTTTGTATCCATTTATTATCTATATCTGCGTATGTAATTATCCTTCTGTACGGATGTAAGGTAAGTGAGGTGAGAGAGAGATGCGAATACGCAGGGATACTTCCGTGCGCGACCGCGAGGCACGGAGAGAGAAAGAGAGAGAGACTTAGTCGCGTTTTAGCGAGTGACCGCGTGCACTGATTGACTCACTAAGGAGAACGAAATCGAGAGTCGAGCAGGCGACACGCTAGAGAGTTACTGTTGTGCGGACTTGTGAGCGAGCGGATAGATTTCTTTGTCTCGATGACTTTCCTTGCTGAGATCACGGTTGTGACCCGGTGCTTCCCTTTTCTTCTTCGATCCTTAAGCTTGTGCCTTTGTCCAGAGGAGGATCACGACGTCGCCTGGCCCCGTAGAGGATCCACGCTTGTGAATCGTAGCTAGTAAAGCAGGACTTCGTTAGAAGAAGCCGAGCCGCAGAGTGCACGTGGTACCCTGTAATTTGTGCGTGCGCGTTGACGCAAACCGTGCGACTAGGTTGCATATTTAGAGGACGAGCATCGTCATTGTAAGTATCGGCTTGTTGGTTTACTCTCTCTCCCTATTCACTCTCTCAGCGTACTCTCTCCCTCCTTCCGACCGCTCATGTCAACTCCTATTGATTAAAATACCGTTTACCGTAAATTCCTTTTTTTTATTTAACCGTGTCCCGTTGCCTTTTTCGAACGTTCCGCTTTTTCACGTCTACGCCCGCTTTTGGAACCTTGGACTTTCGCGTTCATCAGCCAAAACTACGAATCTGCGCGGTTCCGGTTGTCCCATCACCGGCGTGACGAGCACCGAACCTGAAAAGACGGACAGTCCAGGAGGTTCCAGACTTCGCTCGGACATTCCTCATTTATCATTCATTTACTATTTCTTTATTTTTTTATATTTACGGGGTAAACCGGGCTGAATCCCCGTTATAGTATATATACGAGTATATATATATATATATGTAGAAGGTTGGGTAGTCAAATTAACATAAGATGTATCGATTTATCCCGTCTACTCCTCCATTCACACTTTTATCGTAGATTTTTATACAACTTCATGAGAAGCATTCTAAAATCGCTCTTGTGTTTGATAAACCTCGTATCAACACATTCCCTAAAATCTACGCAACTATTTCACGTTTTATAAGATAGGACCACTCACTTTATGCGATCTTTGATAAATACAAACGTAATGAATGCTAAAATATGATGCGATTGGAAAGATTTTAGCGACATCAAAATCTTATTTTAGTAAATGGTTTTACATAATCTGTCTATTATATTACTTAATATAAATATTTTTTATATCAATAAAATTAAACGTTTCTTAGATTAAAAAATTATTTAAGTATCAGCTGATAGTAGGTCAGATAGCAACGAAAAAGTTGTTTAGAAATAGGACTTTCAATTTTTAAATGACTACACCAAAATATGGTATTTTTATGATATCATTCTCACATTCAAGAAATTTCAAGAAAAATGATTTCTATTTACTGATAGAACTTCTATAAATTTTGGCTAATAAATTACAGTTCTATTTAAGACAGATATTTAAAACTGAAATCTGAATTTTTTCTATATAAATTTATAAAATTATTTGATAAAAGCCCTCAACAACAGTCTAAACGATTCCAAAACTATATCTTTTATATTATAGGAATATCAGCTGAAGATGAATGGTACAATAAAAGTATTTCAGCGTTAAGAATGAACACAGCTCACCATCTTAACCCTCCAACGCCGATGCTTCAATATCAAACATAGTGGCAAGAGTAACTGCAGAAGAAGGTGATAGACAGATTGCAGTATTGTTACTCAGGGTTACGATTGCAAGCACCGTACAAGAAATAAATAATGTTCAAAGCATATCTAAATTGGGTCATATATTTCCAGAATATACTTTTTGATTTATGCAACAACTTATTGAGTGATTATACCAAACTATTTGAGTAATCTTCATTCAGGATTATTTTTATACTAATAAGAAGAACAAAAATAACAATGATACTAATTTCCAAAACCACCTGCTCCTATATTGTTATCCCGTAATATCAATGATATCCTAGAAATACATATACAGCGAATTAATAAAGTAATCTTATATATAAGTTGTGTGTGTGTGCGTGCGTGTATAATAGAGTTTTACACAGAGTCATGGATCAATTTCTTTTTTCAATGAAAATGATATATTCACCTTTTAAACAAAAACTAAAGAGCTTATTAATTAAGATTGAATTTTTAGTAGCAAAAATTGCAATTTATCGTTTAGTTTAAAAACCTATATGTTTATTTTCCGGGGATATGTCTGTGTGTGCTGTGTGTGTGTGTGTATGTCTGTCAGACGGATTTAGATGATTTTTCTCAATCTACCTTCGGAATGATATCTTTCGAATCTTTTTTAAGAGTAAGACGGTTTCGATGATTTCTAATATAAAAGGGATTTTGACGACTTCGATTTTTCGTAAGACCATTTTAGACGAGTTCAGAAAAAAAAATTTGAATAATTGATGGTTCGATAGAGTTTTTCAAACTATAAGTCTGATAGAACATTAAAAATACTGATAACCGAATTTTATTTAAGTACTTGAAAGCGACGATACACGAAAAATCCCAATAAATGCAAACTACCAAAACTGAGGGACAGATAGTGGTCTAAAACGGTTTGATATTCAGCATATTATCAAGTTTAGTGAATATAATGAATAATTATTACCACAATGAAATTTACTTTAAGCAAAATAATTTAACGCGTTCACGAAATCAATTAGAAACTATGCTTTAATTAACGAATCACACGGTCATGAATTAAAATATTTTATGCTGGATTCAGATGGATAAAGCTATAAGTAAGAATTTTTATTGTTTCATATTACAAAAATTATTACTCAGATCAGCAGAATCCATAAATGCGACCGATTACTCCCGTACCTGCAGGTGATGATTGTTCATCTTAGACTAAAGTCCAGTTTTTCAATAATCATAATGCGTTTTAATCTGCGGAAGTCTCAAGCCTTACAGTCAAACATCTCTTACATCAAAGAGTTCTGGACGCTTAAAGTCAATTTATCATCGAGACGATAGAATTGGAAATGCACAAGTCAAAATTCCATTCCTAATGCGAAATTATTAACTTCTATTCAACAACATTTCTGTCAAAAGCTATAATTTTCTAAACTAGCGTAACTAGTTATAATTCGTATTTGTTTCTGTAAAACTGTAACGTTTTCTGGAAAACTTTTAAACGTTGATGACTTTTAGTGAAAAAAACGTTATTAAAACGTTTTTAAAACGTAATATATGTCCGCGAGTAATACGTTTTGAATACGTTTTACAAACGTTTTAAAAACGTCTTTTATAAAAATTTATACAATAGACCGGTATCATAATACGTTTTGAAAACGTCTTAAAACGGGTATCACAACATATTATAGAAAAATTTATACAATAAGCCCGTATCACAATACGTTTTGAAAACATATAAAAACGTTTTTAAAACGTTGTCAAAACGTATTCCGATACCGGCCTATTGTATAAATTTTTTTGGGAAAATATTTTTAAAACGTTTTCAAAACATTTTCGGAATGTTCTTAAATCGTTTTCAAAACGTATTCTAATAGTTCATTGTATACGTTTTTCTGGAAAACGTTTTAAAAACGTTTTTAAAACGTATTTTCATACCAGCCTATTATAGAACATTTGCAACAAAACGTTGTGACACGATTAAAAACGTTTTAAATCGTTTTCAAAATGTATTATGATACCGGCCTATTGTATAAATTTTTATGAAAAACATTTTTAAAACGTTTTTGAAGCGTTTTCAAAACGTATTACCCGCGGACATATATTACGTTTTAAAAACGTTTTAAAAACGTTTTTTTTTTTCACTAGAAGTCATTAACGTTTAAAAGTTTACCAGAAAACGTTTTTAAGACGTTTTTAAAACGTTTTGTGCTAATCGGGGTATTTATTACTGTAATCACAAATTGATGGAAAATAATAGTATTACTAATTAGCTACTAGGAAAATTTAATATGTCCAAATGAGTATAAACATTAACAAAATGAAATATAAAACATTTGATACCAGAAAAATCACACGCACGCAAGTTAACTCTAATCTAAAATTGAAAAATTCATAATACGTGGAATTACAACAAAACATATTGAAGAAAAACGGAAAAGCATCATGATCTCCTATAAAAACAGTATCAAAACTACAAAAGGAAATTAAAACAACCAACAATTTCAGTTCAATAAAGAATAACTCTAAAAGTTCAGAAACTGAAGTTGAAAACAAAAAGAATCCACAGAGCAAATTTAGCAATACATTCCACTTTGAGAGTAACGCGAGATATTCCTATATTAAAGATAAATTTTATGAACAGAATCTATAAATAGGCATTCATCAAGGCCCATTTTAATTTCGAAACTAATAAATCAGTAAAAAATAGTAGAATCAGTGGACCAGAAATCAAGATTGTAGGAAAAGATCAAACATTAATTGATTTAAAAAATAAATTAAACATCATTATTATCCAGAAAACTGATTTATCTGGTTTAGATATTAGCATCCTTATTGTAAACACCAGTACTGAGAATCATCAAACAATGGTTAATCATGAAATAGGCGAAAATAAAATCACAGACGAGAAAGCCAAGAAAAAAAAGTTACAATCTAGGATTTCCTAGATTCTATCGTGAATTTTCACTGCATAACAGAAATGAAACTGACATTAACATTACGACTTAATCTTAGTTCTTAATCTTTTGTTCGCGAAATTCGTTTGCATGCACGCTATCGATTTTCTTGTAATAACCGGTGTGGCGGGAGAATTAATACGCGCGGTTGATTAATAAAAATGGTAACACGAAGCTGGCCAGTTTACCTTATATGAATAGTTGCACTATCAGGGGGAGCAGATTAGTATCCCGTTTTCAACTTACCCGGACCAGTAGGTGTTGCCCTCGCAGGCAGCCGCGCGATCGAGACGGTAGCGCAGATCGGACGTTTACCGTCACAATAGAAAAAATGAAAGTTCATTTATTTTAGAGTAAAACTATGATATCGGAGCATAATTTTACTCAATGTTAAAAAAATCCTTTTTTTTTGTTAATTTCGAATAAATAAAATGAGAACCATCGCTCGCAAGTGAGAAGAACTAGGATGGGAGTCACAGATTCAATTTTCTTTCTGTTCCCACTGAAAATAGTTTCTATATGAAGCAATTAAAATCAGCATAGCACTGATTTAGGCCTATATTCCTTTCATTTAGCTGCTGCTTTCAGATTCTATTCTTTCTCGTTCGCATGCATTAAGAGGGCTTGTAGTCCCCATGTGTAAATACACACCCGTCTATATGTTAACCCATTAAGGCTCATGCCAAACCTGGGAAAGATAGCGCCAAACTAACTATGCCAATCGTAGCTAAATCGAAAATAAAAATACCCGTGTTTTTTCTTTTGCAATTTTCAATTGTTTATAAAAAATTATTTAAACAAATTATCAAAAAGTTATTATTTTCAAAAAACTGATAGCGGCAATCGATTCTACGGGAAAAAACATGAACGAAATGTATATAACGTTTTTTTGTCAGACGTCAATTTGTTAGTGTAAAACGGCTATAAACAATTGCAAGTCTGTCAGGTACATGTGTATACGCCAAATCCCAAGCAAAATCTATTGTCGATAGCGCCAAACTAACTATGCCAATCGTAGCTAAATCGAAAAAAAAATACCCCTGTTTTTTCTTTTACTGTTTGCAATTGTTTATAAGAAATTATTTAAACAAATTATCAAAAAGGTATTATTTTTAAAAAACTGATAGCGGCAATTGATTCTACGGGAAAAAACATGAAAGAAATGTATATAACGTTTTTTTGTCAGACGTCAATTTGTTAGTGTAAAACGGCTATAAACAATTGCAAGTCTGTCAGGTACATGTGTATTCGCCAAATCCCAAGCAAAATCTATTGCCGATAGCGCCAAACTAACTATGCCAATCGTAGCTAAATCGAAAAAAAAAATAACCGTGTTTTTTCTCTTGCAATTTTCAATTGTTTATAAAAAATTATTTAAACAAATTATCAAAAAGTTATTATTTTCAAAAAACTGATAGCGGCAATCGATTCTACGGGAATAAACATGAAAGAAATGTATATAACGTTTTTTTGTCAGACGTCAATTTGTTAGTGTAAAACGGCTATAAACAATTGCAAGTCTGTCAGGTACATGTGTATACGCCAAATCCCAAGCAAAATCTATTGCCGATAGCGCCAAACTAACTATGCCAATCGTAGCTAAATCGAAAAAAAAAATACCCCTGTTTTTTCTTTTGCCGTTTGCAATTGTTTATAAGAAATTATTTAAACAAATTATCAAAAAGATATTATTTTTAAAAAACTGATAGCGGCAATTGATTCTACGGGAAAAAACATGAAAGAAATGTATATAACGTTTTTTTGTCAAATGTCAATTTGTTCAAAAAACAAATAACTGTAAAATAAATGTACTAGAAATGTCCAAATATACTAAAAACTTTTGTAATGAAAACTGAATCCATAATATTACATAAAACCGTTAGCCCGCCACTCAAATGTGATCTCTAACACGGTTTCAATAGAAAAAAAATTTTGCAAACTCTTTGCAACTTCGTAACCCAACAATTACTATGTTAGTCAAATTTCCAAATGTACAATTTGTGAAAATTCAAAGCTTTCTGTCCTATTTTCTTAAACAAATTGACGTCTGACAAAAAAACGTTATATACATTTCTGTCATGTTTTTTCCCGTAGAATCGATTGCCGCTATCAGTTTTTTGAAAATAATAACTTTTTGATAATTTGTTTAAATAATTTTTTAGAAACAATTGAAAATGGCAAAAGAAAAAACACGGGTATTTTTTTTTACGATTTAGCTACGATTGGCATAGTTAGTTTGGCGCTAACTTTCCCAGGTTTGGCCTGGGCCTTAATGGGTTAATAAATAAAGT